TTTCCAGACTTTATGACATGATCAGAAATGAATATATTGAAAAGAAGACTGGGAAGTGTGGATCAGAAATAACACAGATTTCAACATTCTTGAAGATGTCTTGAATAAATCTATACAAATCGCGAATTTCAAACTTTAACCGAGAGTGTGTTCCTTTTAAATTTTGAAATCAGATCAGACTTCAAAAGGAAGATTACACCGTACAGATTATAGATTATAAAGTCTGAAAGTCAATCTGAGTGAAATCTTTGCAACGTAATTGAGGATCTGGAACGTCATATAACACAGGATTGAGAATCTGCTTAGATTCCAGACTTTTAAAAAATTTTAATTGAGGATTAGTCCGTTTCTAATATGACAGACTCTTCAATTTTGCAGACTGTGCAGTGTGATCCCAGAGTTCTTCTTCCATTCTGAAATCTATGATATCTAGTGATGTTACTTTTTTTGTAGATCTCTTTAATTTTAAATTCTTGGAATCACACAAGTCGTACTTCATTTGTACACGATTACAGATAGCATATTGCAAATTTTTATAATATTACAGTCCAAAACCAGGCTTCAATTATTATAGTAAAAAATCTTAAAACACTACACAGATCCTTAAACGTTTCAAGTCTCGAATGTACGCAGTGTGGTTCCAAAGTTCTTCTAGATCCTGCCATCTGTAATCTGTTGATCAATCCACTAAGATGACATGAACCAGTCAGGTTAGATCATAGATTCCATGTTCTAAAATTAAACAGTAGTAAGAATGAGCATTTCGAAAGCAATTCCAACTTACTTATAGACAGAAATAGCATCAAACTTCAAAAAGTAAATCATGCTGTATAGAGCACAGGTTTTAAACTTTGAAAAAAAGTCTGCACAAATCGTTTTGAGGCTTTTACAGCAACGTCACTGATAAGATATTAAAAAGAAAACTAGATGCAGATATCTAGAAAATTACAGATTCCAGATTAGACAACCTAAAAGTTTTATACAGACTGTCTTATAAGTTTTAGATCTCTAATCATCTTCTTTAAGCACCGAGTGTTTCCAAAGTTCTTCTTGTATTCTAAAATCTATAATCGGTAGGTTTTAAATTTTTACAACAAGATCACTGATTCTAGACATCAGAAAGAATATTATGAGGTGTGATTGAGGATCTACAAAGTCAAATAACATAAATATCGAATTCCAGACATACAAAAAATTACAGACTTACACAGACTGTTTCTCTAAGGTTGAGATTTCTGATTTACTTTAAGTTTGGATTCTGCCCAGAGTGTTCCCAAAGTTCTTCTTATATTATGTAATCTGTAGGTTTTCGATTTTTACAGCAAGATCACTAATTCTAAACATCAATAAGAATACTATGAGGTGTGATTGGGGATCTGCAAGATCAAATAACACAAAACTCGAATTCCCGACATCCAGAAAATTACAGACTTACATAGACTGTTTCTCTAAGGTTGAGATTTCTGATTTTCTTTAATTCTGGAATCTGCACAGAGTGTTTCCAAACTTCTTCTTGTATTCTAAAATCTGTAATCTGCAGGTGTTGGACTTTTGCACCAAGATCACTGATTCTAGACACCAGAGAGAATGCCATAAGGTGTGGTTGGGGATCTCTAAAGTTAAATAACATAAATCTCGAATTCCAGACATCCAGAAAATAACATTCTTAGATTGACTGTCTCTCTAAGGTTGAGATACCTGATCTTTTTTAAGTCTGGAATATACATAAAGTGTTTCCAAAGTTCCTTTTGTATTTTTAAATCTGTAGGTCTAAACTGTTATACTAAGATTACTGATTCTAGACACCAAAAAGAATACCATGAGGTGTGATTNTAAAGAGCAGTAAGAATGAGCATTTCGAAGACAATTCCAACTTACTTATAGACAGAAATAACATCAAACTTCAAAAAGTAAATCATGCTGTATAGAGCACAGGTTTTAAACTCTGAAAAGAAGTCTGCACATATCGTTTTGAGGCTTTTACAGCAAGATCACTGATAAGATATTAAAAAGAAAACTAGATGCTGATATCTAGAAAATTACAGATTCCAGATTTCGACTGGAAGATTGAAGATTTTAAACGTGTTAAATTGTAAGCTTGATGAAGAAGATTACGTTTTCGATGCTACCTAAAAGATTTATACAGACTACCTTATAAGTTTTAGATCTCTAATCATCTTCTTTAAGCACCGAGTCTTTCCAACGTTCTTCTTGTATTCTGAAATCTGTAATCTGTAGCTTTTAGACGTTTACACCAAGATTACTGATTCTAGACACCAGAAACAATACCATGAGGTGTAATTGAGGATCTACAAAGTCAAATAACATAAATATCGAATTCCAGAAATACAAAAAATTACAGACTTGCACAGACTATTTTTCTAAGGTTGAAATTTTTGATTTTCTTTAAGTCTCGATTCTGCACAGAGTTTTTCCAAAGTTCTTCTTGTGTTCTAAAATCTATAATCTGTAGGTTTTAGACTTTTACAACAAGATCACTGATCCTAGACACCAAAAAGAATACTATGAGGTGTGATTGGGGATCTGCAAGGTCAAATAACACAAATCTCGAATTCCAGACTTCCAGAAAATTACATACTTAAACAGTCTGTTTCTCTAAGGTTAAGATATTTGATCTTCTTTAAGTCTGGAATCTGCACAAAGTGTTTCCAAAGTTCTTCTTATAATCTGTAATCTGTAGGTTTTAGACTTTTACACCAAGATCACTGATTCTAAACATCGGAGAGAATGCCATGAGGTGTGATTGGAGATCTCCAAAGTCAAATAACATAAATCTCGAATTCCGGACGTCCAGAAAATTACATTCTTACACTGACTGTCGCTCTAAGGTTTGAGATTTCGGATTTTCTTTTAGTCTGGAATCTGCGCAGAGTGTTTCCAAAGTTCTTNACTGTCTCTCTAAGGTTGAGATACCTGATCTTTTTTAAGTCTGGAATATACATAAAGTGTTTCCAAAGTTCCTTTTGTATTTTTAAATCTGTAGGTCTAAACTGTTATACTAAGATTACTGATTCTAGACACCAAAAAGAATACCATGAGGTGTGATTTGGAATCTGCAAAGTCAACTAACACAAATCTCGAATTCCAGACATCCAGAAAATGACAGACTTACAGAGATTATTTCTCTAAGGTTGAGATTTCTGATATTCCTTAAGTCTGGAATCTGCACAGAGTGTTTCCAAAGTTCTTATAATCTGTAATCTGTAGATTTTAGATTTTTATACCATGATCACTGATTCTAGACATCAGAGAGAATGCCATGAGGTATGATTTGGGATCTCCAAAGTTAAATAACATAAATCTCTAATTCCAGACATACAGAAAATTACATTCTTACACTGACTGTCGCTCTAAGGTTTGAGATTTCGGATTTTCTTTTAGTCTGGAATCTGCGCAGAGTGTTTCCAAAGTTCTTCTTGTATTCTGAAATCTGTAATCTGTAGGTTTTAGACTTTTACACTATGATCACTGATTCTAGACACCAAAAAGAATACTATGATGTGTAATTGAGTATCTGCAAGATCAAATAACACAAATTTCGAATTCCCGATACCCAGACAATTATTGACTTGCACAGACTGTTTGTCTAAGGTTGAGATATCTAATATTCTTTAATTCTGGAATCTGTACAGAGAGTTTCCAAAGTTCTTCTTGTATTCTGAAATCTGTAATCTGTAGGTTTTAGACTTTTACACTAAGATCACTGATTCTAGACACCAAAAAGAATACTATGATGCGTAATTGAGTATCTGCAAGATCAAATAACACAAATTTCGAATTCCCGATACCCGGACAATTACTGACTTGCACAGACTGTTTGTCTAAGGTTGAGATATCTGATATTCTTTAATTCTGGAATTTGCACAGAGTGTTTCCAAAGTTCTTCTTGCATTCTGAAATCTGTGATCTCTAGGTTTTACTCTTTTACACCAAAATCGCTGATTCTAGACACCAGATAAAATACTATGAGGTGTAATGGAGAATCTACAAAGTTAAATAAAATAAATCTCGGATTCATGACATACAGAATATTACAATCCTACACAGACTGTTTCACTAAGGTTGAGATTTCTAATTTTCTTTAACTCTAAAATCTTGGATTCTAAAATCACAGTTGTGGAAATCCAAGAAAATGGCATAAATTAATTTGTGTAGATCGCAGATTCTAAATTTTAAAGATAAATAAGTGGAATGTCAATAAGAATTACAAGGACGTCTTATTAACTTTTGAAATCTTGGAATTACACCAAACTTCAAAAAGAAGATCACACTGTGTTTGTTGCAGTGTATTTCTAATTTTACAGCATGATATTCTAAAGATAAAAAAAGGGAAGTTAAGTAGTAATTTAGAAGATTACAGATTCTTGATTTTTATCTGAAACGCATTGTAATTGAAGGTCTTAACGATATTAGATCAAGAAGATTTTTATTTCTTCAAATTTAGAATCTGTTCAGAGTATTGCCAAAGTTGATTTTGGACTTTGAAATCTGTAGTCTGTTCTGATCTGATTTTGGACTTGATATTTTTGACAATTTCTTTTAATTTAAAGTTTTGAGAAATATTTGAATCTAATATTCAACGTGCAAATATATTTTTGCAATCTACTGTAGTTTTCCGTTGTTATATGTATGTATATATTTGTTTGTTACTTTGCCTTTACATTTATGATAAACATCATGACGTCAATATAAAATTAACATATGACTCATATGGTGCGATGATAGCTATGGTATCATAGCTTTACATTGTTGATATGTAAATAACCGAGGAGTATTTTCGAATACCACGACCAGAAGCATATATTACCGTATACCGAACGATTCGAAAGCGAGAGTTTTAGTTTGAACTGACTGGTGCCTGGTGGCTGCCCACTGTAGTAGTGCCCACAGCCTACTATAGTTGCGTGGTGTGTCCCATATATGAGTGTACCACCAAGACTCGACCAATTGCTCAACCTGAGATCTCCTACAGTTGAACCGCTGTTCGGTTTGCGAGTAGTCTCAGTTGATTGTAGCTCGTTGGATTGATCGGTCGCTTCTTGTGCACGTTCGGTTCCTCCGGTGCGATACACCGTTGTTGGTGCTCTTTTATTTTCGGTGTCACCTCTTCGATTCGATTTGTGCTATTCTCGATCTTTCTTCTTCTTTCACTGTTCCGCGGTTCATTGATAAAATCCCAGGGTCAACGTGCTCACGGTATTTTCTTTCGCTATCTTCGCGTTTAGCCGCCGGCGTACCTAACGTTGCGGATAGCAGAAATACCTGCGGTCATTGTTGCCACTGTTATCACGTAACAGTACCAACAACAACACCTGTGCCAGAGAGTATGTGTGTTGTTATTGTTTCGTGTTTCATTTGAAATTATCGTTTAAGGTTCTACCCTTAATAAAATTTACGTTTCGAACAATACGCCGTTGTAAAACTGATCGTAAACCTTTATTGAATGTAAAATTTCACTCGTGTTCTCTTGATTAATTTTATTTATTGCTTATAAAAGATGTGGCTAATCGTTTTATAGTAATTGGTTATTACATTCCTTCAGCTTTTTTTACGTTGATTAAAATTAAAAAGTGAAAGCTATATACACAATATTTCATTAGTGTGAACAACATAAATTTAAACACCTACATTTTCCGTTTATTTGAAATAACATTCACTGACCTATTTAGAAAACCACAAGAGTTTAAACCCAACAATGTCATTTTCCAAGTGTTAACCACATTTATTTACACGTGGCACGAAAATGATGTAATAGCTTATTTATAAAGTACAGGCAAAAGGTGGTAATGGGAATATCCTTAAACGTTAGTTATGATAAAGGTTAAGTTTCCTCAGAAATCAAAAACCAATTATTCATTCGCATAACCACTGGTTATTTATTTATAGATGCTTTTTCTATAGTGAACGTTGACCAGAGATGCGATTAACTGGTAATTTGTTGTGACGCTTCACATCAAATATGTGCATTTAAAAGAAGTATTGAAAAATACCAATAAAAAACTACATTAAGATTTCCTATAACAATTTCAATGAATCTGATGAGATAAGGATGACTCCATCGGCACAAATAGCTCGGTGGTTTTGTGACAATTCTCAGTAAACACTCTTAATTCCTCGACACACGGCGTGCGGTTGCAAAAAAATCATAATTTCTTATAACCTTTTATTCTTCCAGTAAAACGCGACTAAAACGGAAGACGAAGTAAATGTGATACGAACTAAAACGAAATATTTTTGATTACATTCCCTACGTAAAGAAGCTCAATTATTTTATTTTTATACATCGAAATTTTTTTATTATTTTTAACGAACCAAACTGTTATTAAAAGTGCCTTAAAAAAGACATCATCGGAGTGAATAGTGTGAATTAAAAAAACGAGTAATAATAAAGTTATGTGCAAATCTTAAGTGGTGAAGATGTCTTCAACGCAAGCTTATTATAAAAATCGATTAGGATTCGATCCGAAGGAATCTATGTACGATGGTCCCCCCGAAAAACATAGAAGAACCGATCAAGAACAATCCCACGGATACGAAGAAAATCTATCAAAATTCAAAGGTACAATATGGGACTTATTTATAGAATCTAAAGGTACGGTGTAAGGTCTCAATAATAGAATGCCCAAAATGAGTTGTTTTCGAGCTTTTGGAGGCTGACCAAATAACCGTTGCGTGTGGTTTGTATCTACTAATTTTTTAATTTAAGAAAAATTCAACATTTGGTCATTAATTAATTAACTTCCCTCAGATTTCTATTTTTATGACCTTCTTTGGCCAGCACGTTTACCAATAAAAATTCTTTGAACGTAGGCGAACAATCGCCACACATATTCGTAACACTGGCAGTAGAAAGCGTGCTACGAATTTAATCGACATATTTGGTGATGTCGACCCAACATTCACTCTCCCAGAACACCATAACCAATGGATGGTATTTTACGATTTCGCGATATCATCGCGTTTTAATTCCGAAAAGAGCGAGACCAATAACGACATTTCTCGCGATAATAATCTTTTGGACGTCGTTGAAATTACAAGTTGCGTTAACATAAACGAGCCTCTGTCCTACACTTGAGCTGACTTTAAAGATATCGTGCGGTTCTGCACAATTTGTTAGCTTTGAACTGCACACATAGTGGAACCCATTCATGATCCGAACGAGAATTTCAACTTATGTGAAGGTTTCACGTTACACCCATTTGTCTCAAATGATATATCTATTTATAAAGATGTCTTATGTAAGATGTCGACAAAAATAACGAAACAAGATTGGTTTTGTGTTTAGAATAGAATTGATTGAAATAGACCAACAATCTATATTTCAGATTCAATCAAAAGAGAAATTGACTTAAATGGAACACTCGAACATTTCCATCTGTTCCATTTTAATTAATATTAGATTTGAATTTTGATGAAATGGGGATTTTGAATGAACAATTTAAGTAACCTCAATGTTGATTGAATCATTTAGAAGTGAATGACTCAACCTATTTTTATTGTTTAATTAAATCAGGAATTGACTCAAATAGAATAGCTAAAAATGTTTTTAGTTTTCAGTGTTTCTTTATTTCAGTCAACCGTTGTTTTCAACTGAAGCCCAATTAAAAATGTTTTAAGCTTAACTTAAACACTTACCATATTTGTTCGAATAATTGACTGAAATTGAACAACTAAAGATGTTTACTCAAAGAATAATATGTAAAGTCCATAAACCGACGTTGATATACCTCAATCTTTCATTTCCCTAATTCTTCATATTCTGTGTTTTGCTTTCTTTCAGATCTCGTTATTTTTTTTATGTACACGCTCTGCAAAATTTATGCCAGATTCATTTAGTCTCATATTGTTTTATTAAGATTTGTTGCTAGGCTGTATTAGGTTTACCTAGGTTAGGTTGGATTGGATTGGCTGAAGTAAAATGCTAGGAAGTTCAACTTGTTGCCATCTATATTTCCAGACACAACATACTCTATCTTTTTGCTTCTAAAGTTTAATTTTGGGTTGGGTTGAGTTGGGCTAGATTAGGTTGGGTTGGGTGGTTTTATGTGTGCTAGGAGAGCTGGAAAAGAGAATCGAGCAAAATACCAAAGACCTCTCAATAATGTTTAAGAATGATGATGTAACTCTAGTAATGTGTAACCTGAACGCAAAGATGAGAGAGGAGAATATTGGAGGCTTGAAGAACTCAATCGAAAACATTGCTTAAGAAATAAATACAACAACAGTGAATTATTTGTTGACTTCTGTATGAATAACAAAACCAAATAGATTATATAACGATAAGCAAAAGATAGCGAAACTCTTTACTAGATGTGCGAAATAATGTGCAGATACGGCGAGCGACCACAATTTAAAATTTAGAATTACATAAAACCAATATAATGGAAACAAGTAGAAGTGTACTGGGAGAGAGGAAAGAAGTTAAAAAGGAATGGATAACAGATGACTTGTGGGGGCTGGTGCAGGAGTGAAAAAAGATGAAGAAAAATAACAACAAAACAGATGAGTCTAAACATAAGGGTAAAGAGATCAGCTGGAAGAGACAAGAAGCAGTGAGTCGACCGACTCATGGAACAAGCAGAAGAAACTGGATGTATAGAGTAACTAAACGACTTACAAATAAAACCAACACTAATAATAAACCAATAAAAGACAATTATATGTAACATAATAACAGCAGAGAAAAAACAAATTGAAAGATGGTAATGACCCCATAAAGAGGAGAAGCCGCCAGAGCATTACAAATAAGCACTAAAGCCGCATCCTTTAGAGAAATAAATGCAGCAATTGAACAACTTATGGCGGGGAAGGCCGCAGGACCTGATAACATCAGTGTGAAGCTACTGCAGGCATACACACCCACAATAACCACACAATTACAACCCATATTCAAGAAAGTGTGAAATATGGAAATTATTGCGGAGAGTTGGAAAGAAAGGAAACTTAAAATTCCATCAAGAAAATAGTGGCCCAAATCTTAAGAAGTATGTTAGAAGAAGTCTTAGACCCAAAATTAAGGAGGTAGCAATTATTAACAGAAAAATGACAATAAAATCAATAAAGAGGAATAAGTGGAAAAGATGACGTAGGATATGGAGACACAGGCCAACATTACAACGGAGGAGAAATAGTTCCACTCAGACTATTGACATAGGTGCAATACCTAATTAAAGAGGGAGAGTTTCAAGAAATGGACACAGATTAGAGACGAAAACCTGGTACGATGATGGTTTTAAAAATACAGAAATAAAAAACGAAATTCCCCTAAAAGTTAAGGATGGAACGGTAACGGTGGTAATCTAGGAACCAATGGACCCAAAATATGGAGAGATTTATTTAAATTTAAGGAACTTTATCCTGAGCTGGAAAAATTGTAAAAATGTTCTATAAGAACTATGAGGAGTACTTCTTTAATCACATGGATGAGGTTACATCGCAATTACTATCCGTACCAAAAGTCAAAGCATATCTTTTAATTATTTTAGAGTGATTTAAACGAATTATAAATTCAAAAGAAACAGAAATGCGTGAGCAGTATCCAATCAGAAAAGGTGGTGCTGGTGTGTGTTCCAGACTGGACGTCGCGCCTTTATTTTTTATGTAGGTAAAATAAAGGCGCGACATCCTGTCTGGAACACATAACTGTCGGATTGAATAGATCCCTCCTTGAGTGAGGGGTCTTGATTTTTGGCGTGAGTTAATCTACAGCAATAATTCAAAGTTTTTTTTTAATTTGGTGAAGATTTCACATTACCATCATACTTTGTTGCTCTCCTGTGACTGGTTAAAAGTACACCATGACTTTACGGACGCACCGTATAAACGAGGGCTTGTCTAAAAATAAAGAAAGTGAAATAAGAAAGTGTCGAAACAAATGATAAAAAAATGATGTGGAAATCATCCACGTGAACATCCTGACGGCAATCGAGACACATTTTAAAGCAAATTGAGCAGATGCATATTCACATGAAATTAGAGGATCTAAGACCGCTATAGGATTAGAAGCGCAAAAATCCATCTGATTGACGATAAGAATAGGTGTCACGATGTGCGAATTGGAACGCAGGCTGAATGTGGAATGGTGTTCGAGATATTGGGGATTTCATCATCAGATGTATAGGCCCTGATTGGGAAAAAATGTGCTTTAGGAGTAGAAAAGAGAACCACTTGGCCAATGATTGTAAAAATAAAGTACATTGTCCCAACTGCGATAAAGAGAGATATAGGATCGGCTCAGGGAAGTGTGAGAAGTGTGGAACCCCTTCCAATATGATAAAAAGGAGAATTAAGAAGAAATTAAAAAAAGCGGTAAGAAGAAGAAATAAAAGCAGAAAGAAGAACAGACGAAAGTAATTGTGGAGAGGCTGTGATAGAGTTCGCACAATTGAATTTTAACACGTTGACTGCCATGAGAAGTGTAACTTGATGCACGGCAAAATTTCCACAACTGCCATGAGAAGCACCAGTTGATTCTCATACCTATTTAATTTTAAAATTGTTCCGGCCAGAATGGTAAACTTTTAGTGACTATTGCGGCAGTCAAGGTGTTAATAGAACCAACGAAACAGGTCTGGACCTGGAAGTCGATGGCACAATGGCAACCAACGCTGACGCACTCGAATACTTAAGAGTCTATCTGGACGAATCCATGGAATGACTAGATATGTCTCGGAGAGTTTTATTTTGCTTTCTAAATTTCCCAACTTTTTATACTTCATCTCCTTTTTCATGCGTAGGGTTAGGTTGGGTTAGTTTAGGCTGTGTTAAGTTATGTAATGTGTTATGGTTTAGTATAGGTTATCTTGAATGGGGTTGAACTAGTTTAGGTTGGGTTGGATTAAGTAAAATCCTAGGAAATTCAACTCTCGTTTTATATTCATTCTCCAAAACTAATAACATATACTATAGGTGTCTCCGAAATGTGTGTACAACGGAAGAATACCTCAGATTCTTTGGCTCAAAATAGGTCGATTTAAGTTATCTATATCCAAAGTTGCTTCGTTTCGCCGCTAGCGGACTTCAAAGTTAGCAAAAAAATTCTTTTATTTTTTATAACTCAAAAACGCGTAAATCAATTGAAACCATTTTTCAGAACTGAGTTCAATTAACGTGTTTGTATGGTTTTCGATACAATTTTTTTTCACCGGATATTACTTCAAATTTTTTTTCTGGCCAGGCGACAATTACATTATTATAATTTCTGAATAGTCCATATATTTCAACTAATTGCAATTTATGAATACAATATCGTTAATCGATCAAAAGCGTTGGAATTTAATGATCCTCAAAGCATATGATAAACCATAACTCTAGTATATTTTGCATTTAACTGTCAGTTAACATCAATAAATCTTGCTTAACGTTATTTTTATAATGGATACTTACACATATGATGAGCAAGTAGATATGATTTTAGTTGGTTTTAAATGGTCGCAAAAGTGTTCGAGTTTATAAGGAAATGTTTCTTTGTCGTCGAGTGCCAAATCACCAAACGTTTGGAAATATCGTAAGACGTCTCAGGGAAACAGGTAGCTTGCAACCGAAACACACAGACGAAAGTTCTAAGTTACAGAAGTCTCTAAAGAATTTGTCCATAGGGTAATAAAAGAACAATAATTACACCCATACCATGTTCAAAAAGTGCAAGAGCTTTTACCTGTGGATCACGAAATGCGTTTAACTTTCTGCCAACTTAACCAAAACGAAAGAATCCACGACCCACATTTTAGTAGAAGGATTTTATTCACGAAAAGGTGGTGCTGGTGTGTGTTCCAGACAGCACGTCGCGCCTTTATTTTTTATGTAGATAAAATAAAGGTGCGACGTCCTGTGTGGAACACATACCAGCCGTATTGTACAGAACCCTCTTTGAGTGAGGGGCCTTAACTTTTGGCACGGATAATAGTGTGGGCTAATTTACAGCTGCGCAAATCATGGTGTTACATCATCACCTATGCGCGCACACCCTTGCTCATCATGCTGCTAAAACTTGCAGAGTTTTTTTTTAATTTGGTGAATATTTCACATTTCCACTTTGTTGCTTGAAAGAGTGGTAGAAGATCCTAAAATCAGTATGAGGCGCTTAGGAAATCAACTAGAAGTCTCTAAAGATGTTGTCCATAAAAGCTTTTGCACTTCCAAAAAGTGCAAAAGCTTTTACTTGTGGATCACGAAATGCGTTTGACTTTCTGCCAACTTATCCAAAACGAAAGAATCCACGACTCACATTTTAGTAGAACGATTTTATTCACAGATGAGGCAACGTTTATCAGATCTGGTATCACTAACATGCGTGACGATCATGTTTATGCTGAAGAAAATCCACATATGACCACAGCAATCATCAGCATCAATTCAGAGTCAATGTTTGGGCTGGAATTATTGGCAATAACATTATTGGACCGGTAATAATACCAAATCACATTTCGGCGACAACCTGTATATTTTCAGACACCCCATACTCCGCATTTTCCTTGTTACCAAAGCTTAATTTCGCTTTCTAAATTTCACAACTTTTCATACTTCTTTTTTTCCATGGGTGGAGTTAGGTTGAGTTGCATTCGATTTCATGAGCGAAACTGTTATGATTTAAATAATGATATTATCGAATCAATAAATAAATCAAGAAACGTTTATTGTAATCAAAATAATATAACGTAAAATTTATTTTGAAAGGTTACGTTGAGATATATCCCAACTGATTTCTTTATTCGATTATGGAATCCTTTAAAAGCGAAAGATTTATTTCGCCAGCCGGTCAACGTTGCGCCCGTTTCAGTCGGTTAATTTAACTTTCTGTCGTACGCCAAATTGGATGGAATTCAGTAAGAATTCAGCTTTCCTTGGCGGCACCATAAGTGTCAAAAGACATCGTGTACGCGTCTTCACATATCTTCAGTTATCGGGTTTACCGCACGAAATTGTGTAAAAAGCTACCTTTGTTTCCGAAGACAACAATTACATCACTAGTAATTGTATTTTTTTTATGTTGTTGTTATTTGTTGTATTTTACGCAGGTTGATTGTTTTGATTCTTTTCATCAACAGTTTACTAACTTACGGTTTTTTTTGGTCTTTTGCAGATGCACGCGACGAGATACAGAAGAAAACGTTCACGAAGTGGGTCAACAAACATCTAAGAAAGGTAATAACCGTTTCTGTTTAATACAGTTAATAATTCGCCGCGCGGCCACGGTCCAGATTGGTTCACGGACCGCGCCATATATGTAACCCTGTAAATTATGCCTTGGCTCTCTGCCTTTCGGAGATTTGCCATCTCGCGATGATTTACAACCTACCGAGGCATAGTGTAACCATAATGGGGATGATTATTCACATTTTGTTGTTTGTCAACCGTCTTTGTTGGTATGCGAGCACCTGCACGCACGCGTTTCATCCGTACACGACATTCTGTTACTCTCTCTTATACTTATTTATTAAATGTTTATTAAGCGACTATTCCATATCGAGGCATCCAAAGATTTATGACTCGTACAATTTTTTCATAAGGAAATTACAGCGTTAAACCATCGCATGCAATAACATATCTCCTTTTCTTTTTTTTTAATAAATTTTGTAATTTATAATATCAAGGTGCCAATTTATAATCACTTATTTTATTTCTTGTATTAATGTTTATCTTGAAACGATATTTATTTCCAACGTCACAAAGACCGCACTAAGAGTTTCCTTAGTAGTAAATGGTAGTAGTCTTGCTTCATTTGCTATTTTATTCCATAAGTGGTTGTAATACTGTGATGTGAGAGTATTGTTTTCTATTGCGGGATATAAATACGACCCTGTTTCTCCTTTTGCATCGAACTGACGCCATGGGGAAATAGAGATTTAAGCTTGGTCGGACAACCTTCGCAATCGGTATAAATCCAATTTCATTTTCAACGGTTAATCCTCGAGTGAGTGTTTGTTGTCTTTATGGGTATATCCCGGATTACGAGTTCGCTTAAATATAGAGACGACGAACGTGCATCGTTGAGATTCTTCGAAAGCCGACGTGGTTCATTTCTTCGTTTCGTGGAAAATGGTATAAAGAGATCGAAAATGATTGAAAGGAAAAACAAATAGGTTTTAAACATTAATATTGATACATTTATTTCTGTAGCAACACTTTGGTTATGACCTATACGAAGTTAGCCTCCAATTAGATAGGATTTTAACCTATGCGAAGTTAGCCCCAATTAGATAGGATTTTATAGTATTTTGATTATAACGAGAGAACCAGTCAATCGATTTCGATAAACAATGTCTCATTCGAAAGCTCAATCCTTGGCCGATGTACCCGTGTGAAGTTACCCATAAATTTCATCCATAAAAAAAACTTTTTTGTTTGTGTATCGATTTTAATGATTAATAGCTCATTAGAAAGATCTCGTGGAGTAGAGCATAACATAGGTTTAGGGGCGCAGATTTTGGGCGGGAACACCTTAAATTCCGGGAAAAACACTAAAATATATAAGAAATTTCTCTAACTTTAGAATTCTAAAAATTGAAAACTAATTAACATAATATCAGGTATGATTACCAAATCAGAATGCGTATCCTGTCTTCTACACAGAAGTGAATTTTGGTCGTCGCTAAATCATATGGGTAATTAGAAAAGTGCAACAAAACACAAACCTGTTTCCAGACGTATGTGGCGCCAGGCGGTTCTTTGAAAAGTAAGATCATATCCATAACTATAACTTTTTTGTTAATGGTGCGATTTAAGTGTGTGATACCTTTTTGGAGAGGGCTCGTCCTCTACATCATATCATAGCAATGACGGTACGAAATTCTAACAATAACGGTATTTAAACGCGATTAAAAACGTTATAAATAATTATATTCTTAGTCCTTTAAACATTGTTAATAATTGTCCGACTTTTATAATAAGTAAAAGCAAAATATACAGTGAAATTCCCCTAACTCGAACTATCCTCTAAGACTTAGCTACAGAAGTTAGTTATGAAATTTCTCGAATGATAGCAAAGCGAAGTCGCCCCTTCAATGATGGAGATTTTGTAAAAGAATGCATAGAAATTGCCGCTAAGAAAATGTGTCCAGAAGCAGCAAAAAAGTTTGAGAAAATTCAACTGAATCGTATGACTATCCAAAGACGAATTATGTCTTTGTCAGGTAATATTGCGGAACAATTAACTGAATAAAACTAAGATCATTGAATTTTTTTCATTAGCACTCGACGAATCCACTGATATTAGTTCCACAACTCAACTTCTCATATTCATACGAGGTGTTACTCAAGATTTTGAAGTCTTAGAAGAGTTATTAGGAATGTGTTCGTTGAAAGGTCAAACCAAAGGAGTTGATATACTCAATGTACTTTTGGGTGAGTGTTCAAAAACTGATTTGGACTTATCAAAATTATCGGGAGTTGCGACTGACGGTGCTCCTTCGATGATTGGTGTCAATTCCGGGCTAGTTACTTTGCTGAAAAAGCATCTGCAAGAAAAAAACATAAACGCTGAAGATCTCATGCAGTTTCACTGCATTATACACCAAGAAGCCCTCTGTTCTAAAAAAATTGAATTTCAAAATGTCATGAAAGTGGTAGTTTCGATTGTAAATTTCATAAAATCACGAGGACTCAATCGCAGGCAATTCAAACAATTCCTTGATGACATCGAAAGCGAATATGGAGATTTACTGTATTATACAGAAGTAAGGTGGCTAAGTCGTGGATTGACACTGGAACGATTTCTAAATTTAATAGAAGAAATTGGAATATTTCTGGCGGAAAAGCAAAAGGATGTCCCGGAACTTAACAATCCTGATTGGTTGTGTGATTTGGCTTTTTTAGTTGACATTACAAATCATTTGAATGTCTTGAACACACGGCTTCAAGGCAAAAATCATTAATTTAGTTATAGATTAATTTCAGTTATGTAGAAAAGCTAGATATTTTGATTCAATCTTTTCAAGACAGATTTTCGGAGTTTAAAAAAGTGAAACATCTGTTGGACATATTCAGCAATCCTTTCACGATTTCAGTTGAAAATGCGCCAGAGTCAATGCAGTTAGAAATTATCGACATTCAAAACGACCAAGATTTACGCAACAAATTCAACGAAGGAGACTTGCGGAACTTTTACCGCTGCATTGATAAAAATATGTACAAAGAGTTGCGCATAAACGCTCTAAAATGTGCCAGCTTATTTGGTTCTACCTATATATGTGAACAAACTTTTTCAATACTAAATAATAATAAAACAAAAAATCGAAACCGCCTTGCAAATGATAGTTTGGAAGCAGTTTTACGTGTTGCTACAAGTAAATTTGAGCCAAATATAAAAAAGATTGTAAGCACTATGCAGTGCCACGCCTCAAATTAATAAATTCTTTTTCAATTTTAATACATTATTATCAATTCTTTATTGTCTTTAATTATCTATACTTCTGGCGGCCCGCCATCAGTTCATGATTTGCCCGAGTGGCCCCTAGTCTTAATAAGTCTGTGCATCGCTGCTCTAAGTCGAATAATTTTCGTAAGCTCAAGCTTTTGACTAGGCTTCAAATGTGTTTCTCTAACTCGAATTTTCCATAACTCGAAGTTTTCTTCCGCTCCCTTAGTGATTCGAGTTAGGGGAATTTCACTGTATTAATAAAATACTACAATTCGTTATTATTAACGACAAGTCAACTGTATATTATGTAATTTTTCTGTAAAGATACACTGAGAGAAATGGATTGTACTATGTACTAAAAATATACTATAAGGTATAATACGTTTACTACAAATAGTGACAGCGAGACCAGATTGTATTCAGTACAATAAATATAATGAATATAATACAATGAATTGCTGCATGTATAATATTCTTTCTATAATACGATTCGTGCAATCTATTTCTCTCAGTGTACTATCTGTTAGCTGCTTTGATTCTGTTGCTTATTTCATCTTCATTGTTTCCTCTGTGATTTATAATGGTACCGAGGTACCTATACTGAGTAACTTGTTTTAAACTTTAATTTTTGTTCATTTATGTGAACACCCATATCTCGAGTAGTGTCATCTTATGAATGTCATCATATGAATGTGCAATCCTGCCTTGCTGTGCTGCTTCGTTCCAAATTTTCAGATTAAACTGAAGCTTCTCTTTACTGTCACCGATAGCACTACGTCGTCCGCAAATATGCATATCTCAATATTTATTTATATTATTTATTCACACTCACAAATAAAAGAGGGCTCAGACTACTTCCCTGCCTTACGCCTTCGTTTGTAAAAAAAATGTAGACTCTTAATGGCATCAATTAAGTCATTGCTTACTTGCTTTTCCTCTAGCTATTGCCATATCGCTATTCTGTTGGAGGTGTCGATAAACAGAAGGTATATTGCTTTGTTTTTACATAGCCCTTTTTCAATTATTTGCAGGGTGAAAAGATGGTCTTGCGTACTGTGTCCAGGTCTAAATCCAGTTTGTGTTCAATTTCGCATCTTAGTCTAACCTCCAGTAATTTTTTGTAAAATTTGACCACTACGCAAAGCTAAGATATGCCCCTATAATTTTTACATTGTGTAGTGCTACCTTTTTTATGGATGGGCAATATGAGAGCGTTTTCCCATTCTTCAGGAATCGTTTTTGAAGTCCATGCCGCGTTGTAGATTTGTATTTATAGTGTTTAGCATTTACCCCCAGATATTTTATCATTTCAGGTATGATGTTGTCACACCCAGCAGGCTTCTATTCCAATTTAATTTTTTGCATCACTTTTTCCAACTCTTGATTTGTTATGTGATTCTGAGTTCTTGTGTCATTTCTACGTTAGCTAATAGTGTCTTCATTTCTGATATCTGTTTTAGATTTTAGCAGTTCTTCGTAGTATTCCTTCCACCTTGTTATAATATCATTGGCATCTGTTAATAGTTTACTAGTTTTTATTGTTAATGAAGCAATCGTTTTTCCGAACTTATCCCATCCGTCTCTCTTTGCTTGCAGCGTTTTAACTTAGCATGTTTGCATTGCTGCTTATAGTTATTAAGATTACTTGTTGTTGGAATTCTAATATACCTATATTTCACATAGTTTTTTTCTTAGATACTTCTGATTTAACTTCGGCGTTCCACCAGTAGATTCTTTTTAAGAAGTGCCTTTCTTTAGTTACCCCACAACTACTTTTTGCTGTCTT